ACAGTTATGTCGTCATTTTTTTTTTTTTAGTACAAAAAATGAGGCCGAAACCTAGCGAACTCTAAAATAAAACACGACGTGGGCGAGCCACCCCTACGATATCATAACTCAGCCAATGACTAAGGTCTGGTGGCGGAGAAATAAGACGATGAAACCCAACCGGAACACCAGCAGCTAGCGAAGCTAACTTATCGGCTGAGAAGTTCCTTTCCTGATAAACATGGGCCACACGAACACTCCACTCTTGCTTGAGAAAATCACGAATGGCTTGGACAATGGGTTCGTTGAGACCAAGGTTATCATCATTTACTAGGACCATATCTACGACACTACTATTGTCATCTTCCACCAACACTTGCATCACTTCCACCAACACTTGCATCGCTCCCAATGGATTTGTCATATTTTTTTCATAAATATATTTACTTCTATTGGAAGATTATCATAATTAATTTTGTATATAGATTTTTGTCAATAAATACGACACGTCGACTCGCCTAATTGTGAAGCTGGCTTACACAAGATTTTCTAAAATGTAAAACTTGGGATATTGACTTTTTAAATAAATATGGATATTTCATAATAAGATGTTATTTATATGTAATGTAATTTTTATAATAGCGTAACTTACTTGAAAAGAACAACAATTATAATTGATGATTCAACCTCAAGTTTATGACATTTTGTGGACTAAAACTAAATTTATCCACACATCAACTCAACTCAACCTATTTTATTTCTTCTTTCTATTTCCACGACCCAATTTATCTTTGTCTCCAACCTAACTCAACTTAAAATATTTATTTATTTATTTATTAAGAATTATCTAAAATTAATTTGTGTTATTGTTTTAGTTGTGACAAGTTAAATAAAAAATATATATAATTAAAGTCATAATGATTGAAAAAAATTAATACTTTATCATATAATTAAAATTACAAACTCAGTTAAAAATTAAAATTACAAGAATTAAAATAAAATATTAAAATTAATTTAAACAAGTTACAAACACTTCAAATAAAATCACATATTGTTACTATTACCAGATAGAAAAATTACAATCGTGATCCAAAATATATCAAATGTGGTCTCTATTTATAGAAAATTACAATTGTGTTCCAAAATATATCAAATGTTTTAGACATGTTTTCTTTCCAAAATAGCTTAGAAAAGTTAGTAGGCGACTTCACATCTTTAAAAAATAATATATAAAATTTAGGATGATTATACATATATCAATGCAATATTTTTGGTATTTTTAATAATTTTAAACATACAAAATTGATTTTCTCTTATACAAGATAATTTACATTGTTTAACCCCACATCTCTAATTTATAATTATAATTTTATATTTTTAACTCTCATCTTTAATTTTGATTACTTTTTTTTTCTCCATCTTTTTAAAGAGGCTCAATAGTGGTTCTCATTTATTCCATTGTATGACTCAAACTCGAGACCTATTTATAATTATTATTTAATATTGTTACTCGTGCATTGCACAGGCTATGCATTAGTTCACATTAAATATGTGATTGATATATTTCTTCTTTTTCTTAAATTATCAGTTACAATAACTATTTTTACATTTCCTTTACCTACTCCCTACATTACCATTGTAGTATTATATTTCCTTTTATCATTTAATTTATACACCAATTAATATAAATGTGTCTTCTTCTTATTTTTCAAATTTTATAACTTTTTTTTGTATTTGTTTTTTATATATGCTATATAAAATTAATTATATTTTAATAATCTTCAGTTTGACATTCATACTACATATACAAAAATGCAAAACAGTGATATATATTTTATGAATAAAATTTAAATTGATTTATCAAACGAAATTAAACAAAATAAAAAATAAAACTACAAATCCCTTTATATATAATTTTAGAATACGTTGAACTTAAATGACAATTCTGCATGTTTTGTAATCTTATGTGGCGAAATACTATACTTTGTAATATGGCCGAATAACTACTAATTTTTTATTCTAAATAGCTTAGGTTTAGAAAGCCATATGTACATATATTTAATATATTTAAAATATTTTATGTAAATCTATTTATTATCTTATTTTCCTATACGTACTTTTTGAATTTTGTACGTTGTCCATATAATTTTTTTATGTGTTTTAAATATAAATATTATAAACACAACCAATGATGTAGATAAATTAGTTTTTCAGAATTTAAAATGATAATTATTAATTAACATAGTTCATTATTATAAATTGTTGTATATTGTTCTTCATTTATATTTGCACCTTAACAAAATATATAAACATTTTTTTTCTTTCATTTTTTGTTATACATTTAATCACAAAATATTTATACATTTTTTTCTTTCATTTTTTATTGTACATTTAATTATTTCATCAAACAGCATAAATATATGGTATTGTACTATTATTTTATAAAGTGGAGGAAAAACAAATTAACGTAATCATTTAAAAGATAACAACAAATCTCAGTGTTTAACAGTTTAAGTAACACATAAACTTTTTAGCCTTTTTGAATTAAATTTCAATTAAATATTTTAGCTTTTAAATATTTTTACAAAAATCTAAATTATTTATAAAGTTAAAAAAAAAAAAAATCCTATTTGAATACACGTAAAAAGTAAAAACTCGCCGTGAAAAGAAGAAAAGAAAAAAATCCAAAAATAAATAATACTCCGCAAACAAAGTAATCACAAAGACTATACAGCAATCAATCGTTTCAGCACAAATTCACTACCCATGAACTCGTGATAACATCACAACTAATCACAAGAAACCAAAAAAAAAAAA